GCCCCCAATCGTCTGTGAGACTTTGGGTTAGTCAACTCGACTCTGTGTCTCAGTCTTCACATTTGCAAAATGGGGATGACCACACGACCCATGTTTGGGTGACTATTAAATGAGGTAATGCATGTAAAGGGCTTTGAACAGTCTGTGGAACATAGTAGCCATTTCTACCATTATCTTAAATGCAGAAATCTCTCTCTCCTTCAAGCCTCAGGTCAGATTTTAATGTTCTACAAAGTCTTTCCAGATTTTTCCAACCAGATCTAATGCTTCTTGTTTATTGATTTAAACCCTTATAATATCCGGTTGGCCACTTTTTCTTATCCCTTGAAAAGGTACCATTTACCAAGCAAACAGATATGACAGGTACTGGTATACACCAGACTTCAGGTGTATTGTCTTACTTGATTTTGAAAAGTAACTATTTCATCTCCCATTTTACAGATGAAGAAGCCGACATACAGAAGATAAGCCACTTTTCCAAATTCACAAAGTAAGCATGATTAAACTCATTTGTCTCCTTAACCTCGTTTCTCCTTGACAAGGTGCATTTAGTTTGTAATGTTATTTTGCGTGTTTCCCATCTTTTCTCCTGTCCCTCAGATGGAGAAGGTGTTCGTAAACAGCAAGCGTGGTTGATGTGAAATAAACGGATGTATGGTTTGGATACCATAGAGTCTGCCGATATAATACAAAGAACTGGCATTCATATAGCATTGTATAACTTCCAGTGTATTTTCACATGTACGATCTCATCGAAAGCTCACAATAATTCTGGAAGCTATGTATTGTTATCATCTCCATTTCTCAAATAGGAGACTAGGAGGCAGAGAGGTTAATTGGCTTGCCTTAGTTGCCATAGTGACAAGGCTGGGACCCCAACCCAGATGACCTTCCATGTGCTGTCCAATAGAGCACGATGACTTCTCCCCCAATACCACCTGAGCCCCACCCAATGCCACAACATCTTGGAGACAAAATAAACTCTATATGACTCTCAAATACTGCAAAAGAGGCAATGACCACGAATTAGCAGAAAACATAAGAATGTTTTCCTAGAGTTCAGTTCTTCAGAAGCAGGAAGGCTGACAGACCCAGAGCCAGGCCGAGTTAAAGGATTCTGATTCTCATTCTGAGGGAGAAAATATTCAGCTCAAATCATTCTTTTCATCCAAACGTGAATTTCTATAAAGTTACACGCCAACAGATTTTTTAGGAACTCTAAATTTTGATCGTCCTCGTTTGTAAGAATTCCCTTCTGCGGCATTTCTTTCTTGTTTTTCTGAAAGGTCAGGCAGAGTCTCATTTCAACATCTCTCCGGCAGCGATATCCCTACAGAGGAGTTAGACGAGGTGATGTAATTGTTTTGACGTTTCTAAATATGAAAGAGCAGGTTGGTGTGTTACACAACAGAGAGAGAAAGGGAATGGCTGCATCTTTAGTAACGTGTCCCATTTCGAGAAGCGGCCAGTGTTTACTGGGGAGTTTGTTCACCCCAGATATGTAGAAAGAACAGATGCAAAAATGCTGACACACATTTGCAAAGAGAATGATTGCGACATCCGGCCAGCGAGTCGCGCTACAATTGGCCTTTGCCTTGCTTCACCTGATGCGATTGCAGAGCAGCTTCAAGGTATTACCTTTGCCTTCCAAGAAGACTGACTCCGAGCTGAACAAATATCAGACACGACCATGGGATCCGAAGGGTCGTTTATTTAACATGTTCTCTACCGAACGCACCGTAGAAAGTTCTAAGCCACGCGGGAGGGGAAAGAGAACAAGGGACCAGACGCAGACCCTTCCCTACAAGGGTTTTCCACATAAAGGGAAAGTAAAGGCAGGTGACCTCAAAACATGACAGAAAGTGAAATGTCTGCCATGTGAGAGAATGTGCTAAGGCAGTTGGTTCAAAGGTCCTCAGTCTCAGAGGATAAGAGAAAGGAGACTTTTGCAAGGACGTGGCAGTTCAGACGGACGGGATTGGAAGGTACCTGGCCCTGGGAAGGAAGAGCATCCCAGACAGAAGAAACCACCTGGGCTGAGGTTGGAAGTGGGAAAATACAGGAGCTGGACAAAAAGTAGAGAATTTAGCTTGTTTATAGTATAAGGCTCTTGAAGGTCAGACTTTTAATAATTCCTATTATTGAGGTTTAGAAAGTATTAATAGGGATGTCTTTCCATAAAGTGAAGTTCTTATCAGTTTGGCCAGTCACTTGTCGGACGCTCTCGTCCCTCTCTAGCAGATATTTTCAGATATAAAGAGCTACCTGTATGGTGCAACCGATGGGCCAGGCTCCCACTAGGAACCAGTTTGTTGAATAATGTTACCTTTTACCGTTTAAGACCTGTCCTAGGTTCGTACAGTATGAAAAATTCTGCAAGCTTCAGAGAAGCTAGTAAAATCCACATTCCCTTCTTTACAGAGCTTGCTAAGGCAGCTGCTTGATTTTAAATGTGCAATTGAATATTAACAGTATGCAAGACTAGTACTGACAGCCATGCCTCGTGCTTGATTTCACAATCCAGATGTGTTGAATCAACTTTTCTTATATGTGTGAACACTGTAATAAAAAAGAAGAAGGAGGAGGAGGAGGAGGAGGAGGAAGAAGGAGAGAAGGAAGGAAAGAGGGAGAGAGGGAAAAAATGGCTTCCTTTTTGTCTCCAAGTCTCAATTTCTGCATTTCATAATTCAGTTGAATCTAAGGAGTGTAGCGCGATATCTTTCTCAAAAAGGAAATGAGGTGTTTTATTGCCAAACGGAATATATAGATTTGGCTGTGTTTTTTTAAGCCACCTGTTAACATATTTCAAGACTTCTTTTGCGATTGTATCTTAGCTCCATCTATATACGAATGTGTACTGGACTTGAATACAAGAAAAAGGCTGACGTTTTTACTTCGCCTTAAATCTCTAACATTTTCTACCTTATGAAAAACGTACCCTGAAATGTTGTGTTTGGCCCAGGCTACTAAAAAAAAAAAATCTTTCTTCAGGAGAATTTGACCCTGTTCCCATTGTTTTCTCAGCATGTTTTCAGCATCAGCACATTGATTATGCTGTCATTAGCCAGAATACTGAGACAGGAAAAAAATCTATTAGATCACTGAAGTCCATTCCTGGAGCGGACCCAAGTCCCCTGGGAGAGACTGGGACACACCTTCCTGGCAAATGACCAAGGAAAATGCATAGGCATGTAAAATTTTACTCTGCTACAGTTTTTAATTTTTGAAAATTTCTGAAATAACTCCCCGAGACTGTTCATAAAACTGTTACACTGCTGAATTCTGGTTCGTGGTTCTCAAGTGGGGGTGATTTTGCCTCCTCCAGTAACCGCCCCAATGAGCCATCTCATTGGCAGTATTCAGAGACATTTTGATTCTCACAACTTGGAGAAGGGGAGGGTGCCATTGATACTATTGCGTAGAGGCCTAGGATGCTGCTAAATATCCCACAATGCAAGAGACAGCCCCCCACACCCCGAGGCAGCATTTTTCAGCCCCAAAGTTTACAGTGCCAAGGTTGAGAAACCCTGGGTTAGGTCTTTTCCTAAGCTTTTTTCTTCTGCTGTTTAAACTATTCACTCGGCTCCACACCAAGCAAACCCCACGGCTCTGAGGAGCACCCATTATTCTAAAATAAACTATATCAAATAAAATTTCTACTGATTCTAGTCCTTACTCTGAACATAAGCAAGTATTAACAATCATACAGAGGTGGGGGGGGGGGCGGGGGAAGCACCCTTTCTAGTTACTCAAGAATTAGACTGTGTTGAATTTAATAAGGCCCCAGATCAAGTAAATGACACTCTAGAGACTTAAGAGGGAATCATAAAATGCTCGAGGAAAAAAGAAACCATCATGTTTGCCTAAATCATTACAGTCCTTTTGTTAATCAGAAGCTTATAGTTTTGTTTCTACATATTCTTCAAGTATAAGTTTTTATAGGCAGATTCGATCTTTAAAGTCAAAACCTTCAGTGAAAAACTTTTGGTAGCGAGTATCTCAAGAGTGTTCAATAGGTGCCCTACCCACCCACCCTCTCACCAGCTCCGCTACCCGTTCGTTCTTTTCTAGGAAGTAAAGGCAGGAAAAAGGAATATAAAGCAAGATGGAGAAATAGAATAAGGGCAAGGAAAGGAAAGGAAAGATGAAAGGAAAGGCAAAGAGAGGGATAAACAAAAGTTGTATTTCTTTAGATTGGAGAGGACTTTGGCTGACAAAAGCTTCCTGGTTGGCTATTCAACCTTAATTTTCTGTGAAATTTAGCAATGGCTTTGGTATCTCTCATCTGTAGTATAGATATCGATGCTATAGATCAGGAAGATTATAAAGAGAAAACATGGATAAATAGTTTATTTTATGAACTGTTACTGAAATACTAGTATCAAAAAGGTAGGCAGTATTCCAAATACATCAGCTTAAGGTGATCACACATCACAATATTTTTGCTGGCTTAGAGTTTTTAGTTTAGGGAATCTAATTTGAGTTATTATTTTCAAAGACAAAAAGAGATGTTACAAACTCCGGGTTAGCTCAGGTGTTTTGAAAGTGAGGAGCAAACCCGATCTACTACAAATCCTTGTTAATTACGTGGGGGTTTTGTTTAACTCTCTGATATTGGTAGCAGAATAACACCTGTGTATTTGAAACATTAAAGACATTTACTCTTTACCCGTCGAGGAGTTTTCCCTCCCCTGAAATTGTGCCTTGATTATGATATTCTTTCTCTTCCCCCACCCAAAACAGAATCAGGTTGAGCTTTCTGCACTATTGAACTAGCTTGAGTTAAAATCTGTCACTTGTGCTTTGTGACAATTCTGTTACATTTCCTAATGAACTGTGTCTGATCTTCGGGCATTTCCTGGAATGTTTATGAGAATGGTACAGCTCAGGCTCAGTGGCATCTTTACGGTGCTATTTAGTACATGAAGCTTCTTCACAAAGCATACAGTCTAGAATCTTTGTCTTGTATTGTTATTGAAATCAGCGGCCCACATTCCTCCCCTATGAATGAGGCTGCCCAGGATAACTCAAACACGAATTTTTCACAGGGAAGACGATAGCCTAGACATAACAGAACCAAGAACTGATAAATCAGGTCCTAATTTTCTCTATAAGCTGGGGATACATTTAATAAGCTCTTCCTTTTTATAAAAAATTTTTTACTTAACTCGTACAAATTATAATAGTCATAACAGGTCATGATGAATAAAAAAAAAAAAATGGCTACCATACGGAATGGTAGTAAATGTTTCTTATCCCCACCTGCCAGACCTCCAGCCCCACTGCTCAGAAAGAAGCACTATTAATAGTTCCTCAATATGTTCTCTTAGAACTTTCAGAGAATAGAGGAAAAATTACTTTTTGTACCCCAACTTTTCTCTTTCTCTCTTTCTTTCTTTCTTTCCCTTCCTTCCTTCCTTCCTTCCTTCCTTCCTCTCTCTCTCTTTCCAGAGCTCATAGTACTTAAATCACCACTAAATTTTTACTAGT